GCCGGTACTCGGACGCTTTCCTGCGGACAGCGACACCGGGGCGACACCTCAGCGCTGTGCCCCCAGCCTGGGCTGCACCCAGGGGTGCCCCACGCCCCCCGCCCAGCCCCACCCAGCCCCGAACTCACTCTCCGGAGGGTGCGGAGGGCCGGCAGACCAAGCCGGCCTGGCAGGGGCACACTTGGTTGATGCTGAAGGCGAGACCCCCGGGCGGGACGTGGCAGCTCTGGGCCGGTGCCAGGCGCCGCTGGCAAACGCGCTCGCCGTGCTGGCGAGCACAGCAGCCGCCGGGCCCGCACTCCTCGTCCCGCTGGCACCGCGCTCCTGGCACCGAAAAGGGATTTAGGGGGTGGAGACCCCCACTCTGACACCCCCTGGTTCAGTGAGACCCCCAAGGGGGACGTGGCAGCTCTGAGCCAGTGCCAGGCGCCGCTGGCACTGCGCTCCTGGCACATAAAAAGGATTTAGGGGAGGGAGACCCCCACTCTGAGACCCCAACACCCCCTGGGTCAGCGAGACCCCGAGGAGGACGTGGCAGCTCTGGGTCAGTGCCAGGCATCACGTTCCTGGTGGCACGGAGAGTGGATTTAGGGGAGGGAGACCCCCACTCTGACACCCCCTGGTTCAGTGAGACCCCCGGGGGGATGTGGCAGCTCTTGGTCAGTGCCAGGCACCACGTTCCTAGTGGCACAGAAAACGGATTTAGGGGAGGGAGACCCCCACTCTGAACCCCCCTGATTATGCAAGACCCTCAAGGGGGGACGTGGCAGCTCTGGGTCAGTGCCAGGCACCGCTGGCACCACGTTCCTGGTGGCACAAAGTGCAGATTTAGGGGATGGAGACCCCCACTCTGAGAACCCCTGATGCAGCGAGACCCCCGGGCCAGACGTGGCAGATCTGGGTCAGCACCAGGCACCGCTGGCACCGCGCTCCTGGCACAGAGAGCGGATTTAGGGGATGGAGACCCCCACTCTGACCCCCCTGATTCTTCAAGACCCCCAAGGGGGACGTGGCAGCTTTGAACCAGTGCCAGGCACCGCTGGCACCGCGCTCCTGGCACAGAGAGTGGATTTAGGGGATGGATACCCCCACTCTGAGCCCCCCCAGCCCCCCCTGGTTCATCACCGCTCAGCATCGCGCCCCCCCACGCTGGCAGAGCCTGCGCCCCCCATGCCAGCCCCCCACTCACCGTCCTGCCCGGGGGGCACGGGCTGCTGGCACCGGCCGAAGACGCAGACGAGGCCGGGGGCGCAGTGCGGGTCGTGGCGGCAGTGGTGCCCCGCGGGCCGCGTGGGCAGGCACAGCCCGAAGTGCTCGTCGCAGAAATGCCCGTGGGCACAGGGGGCGGCGGGGCCGCACGGGGTCACCTGCGGAGGAGGGGACACGCCATGTCACGCGTGGGGA